GTTTGACCATAGTTTTGCTGGTTGTTTATTGGCTTTCAAAGCATAAATATAACAGCTGTCTTGCTCACAGCCCATTCACATATTTATTTCCATTACTGGCTTCATGGGAAAATCAATATGTCTCATATAGGGGAGCTATTAACTATTCGCTACTCACATTTCCATTCTCTTCACACACTTTATATTCAGCTAAACATTAGAAAATATTTCAGCACAAAATTCCATCCTAACTTCTGAGCTCCTATTCAGTGGTTCACTTTGCTGCTCTGCTCAGCTGCATTCACAGCCAAACTTTAAATTCATACTATAGACTGTATAAACTATACTTATACTTACTATACTTAAACCATACCCTTGATGTTACTCATTGGTTTATGGACTACTGTTTTGAAGCCTCAAGTTTGGCATATTTGACATTGCCATCGTGATTTTTTGGAACCAGAAGTGACCGTTCTTGGAGGAGAGGGTGGAGATTTGGGAAGGATTCTCATTGCTACGCCTGACAGGTTGCCATGGTAGCGATTTGTAAATCACAAAGTAGCCATGCCCTAAAGCATATCCTGCTTTATCATCTATTTTACCATAAATGTGACCATAATTAACAAAATGAACATTATGCTGTATTGAAGAAGACTTGAAACTAGTGATTTTGACCAGAAACTCATTAGGAAGGTGTTTACTGAGGTAATAAATCAAGTGAGAACTAAGGTAATTTTCTCATATACTGCAAGACAGTCAGACTTCTTAAGTCGCCCCCTTCTTGCCATCAGAAAGAATGCCGGTTTAAGGCACTTCTGCATTCTGCTTCACTTTTCAGATCTGCCGGTTCCTTCTTGGTTCATACCCATGCAGTGGTAACCTGCTGCTTCTTTGTACTGCATGGCATTTCATAAAAAGAAAGAATTTCTGATTTTAATATCCGTAAGTTGATAATCATCTGCTGCTAACATGTCTTAGCCTGCTGCTACATATCAGGTGGATTATCCTGTGTAGATTTATCCATATCAGTTCATGATGGTATATATTGTTTGGGAATGGCCACTTGCCTGCTGGCCCACATATAGCAGATTTCATAACATAAACTTTAAGATGTTTCTAATGCAGTTTTATTTTTATGATCACTTCCCAAACACTGCTGCACTGTGTTTGTTGTGCTCTTGTGGGGATGACATGGTCAAAGTGGTCACATATCACTTCTGTGCATACTCTATATTTACTTGGATATATCCATTCCTTATTAGTTGGCTGATTGAAATGCAGGTGATTGCCCTTTTCCTAATTTCTTCCCAGACTCCTAGTGTGTTAATTTTGGAGTAGCTCTTAAAAAACATTGTGGAAGTAGCTAAAATGTTTTATCTCACCATAACTCAGAAGGGTAACAGCTGTTGGACTCTGAGAGAGGTTGCAGATGTGTGCTTTGATGAATGCTGAGGTTTGGGACATGCTTTTCAGGCTGCATTCTCAGAATCAAAGATAAAAAGCAAACGTTTACATCCTGGCTGAAGATTGAAAAACAGGAGGAAGCATCAGACCCAGCAGTTGGTGATGATGGTATCGGAGATGATCTCAACAAGAACTCTGCAGTCCCCAGTCGGGAGCAGATGGCCGAAGTGCATGATCTGATGAACGTCACTCCTGGTGTGGGTTGCGAAAGCAGTGCTTACATAAAGGGTTGCCATTCATTCGATGATGGAGTTTGGCGTCTAACTCATTTCACTTGAGCAGTTGCTGATTAATTGCTCCGACAGTCATAATTAAAGTGACAGCCACCCAGTGAGCGGCACTCCAAGTTGGAGATTATATGAGGTTATGAGTGATTAGTAATAATTTCTAGAGAGGCTCACGCATTGCTGTTAAAAACACAGCTCCTGAATGAAACTTCACATTGGACTGTCAAATCAAATTAACCTGCCTAACATAAAAAGAATGATTCGTTGATGAGTCAGCCACCGTGAGGTTAGGGTAGGCAAAATTATTAGTGGCACATTTGTTTGAAGCAAAGACCAGGGGGTGGAGGATGAATCAAAGGGGTTGTTTTGCTATTTTCTTTCACACCTTTGCCAATTTTCTAGGAGATGAAACACTATAGATCAAGGTTAAGAATGGTTGCTGATAATGCTATTGTTGTTTAACCATTTTTTTGTTGCTCTGACATTTCTCCCAGAAGCTGGTTTTTAGTATACTTTTTCAATTTTGATGCAGGTTTGAAATCTGCTTCTGTTGCATTTATTGTGATATTCATTGTAGCAAGCCATAACAACTGGTCTCATCTTTCATATCAAATCTCCTTTGTCTGATTTTTAGCTTTTCTCAAGTCTTCGTCTCATTTAATCTGAGATTGTAGATAGAGACAAAATCTGAAAGTTATGTTGTTTACAACGTCATGTGAGCGGCTTGATAAATATTACCACCGTGTATTTTGCTCAGAGTTTAACATCTTCTTCCTGGGGCCTTTCTGTGGAAGTGTTATAGACTGCCAACTGTTTGGACTCGGGTCAACAGGGAGCCCAAGCCACATGAATTATGCATGGTGTCTGCTCTCAGGCATACAGCCCTGTCTGTGCTGCCACCGCACATGCAGCGCTGGAGATGGAGACTGAGTTACGGAGATCATAGAGAACAGCAGCGGACAAGACAGTTACACGGAAAGGAGAGAGAGTGACATAGAAATACAGAATATAATACCAAGCACAGAGATGTACAATATGCATGACAGTGAAAAAAGGACACTATTTTTAAAGGGTCAGTTTACTCAAATTCACCAAAAATTATTTCTCATGTACAGATTAGAGCCCAAGGTGATGTCAAATGCATTGATTTGCCAAGCCAACATTTGGATTTTTTAATTATGGAAATTGCTGATTTATGCTAAACAGGGCATCTTGGTTGTCTAGTGGTCAGTACAGACACACATAATGTCAGCGGTTTAACTCTAGGAATTAGGCCTAGTTGAAAAGCCCAACATTTTCTGTCTCTCAAATATGAACATTTCCTGCTTTTCACTGATTTTCTATAATATTGTAAATTTAATATCTTTTGGTTTTTTAAATGTTCATCTGACAAAACAAAACAATGGAAAATCAAAGATTATTTCCGTAACATTTTAATCAGTTAATCTGTTATTTTTATATAATTGAAACGATGAATCGATTATCAAAATAGCGGATTTTCTTTTGATTCGATTAATCAACTAATCTTTGCAGCTCTAATTATCAGTAGATTAATCAATGTCTAAAATAATCATTAGTTGCAGCCCTACTTTGGTGCACGCCATCCCCTCCTCTCTCTGCATGTTGTCTCTCCAGTCTGCTGTTTATTAATCATTTCAGTGCTGGCTGCTAGTAACGTCACGGCCACACAGACAGTTTGAGTTTGATGTGCCCAGGTTTTGAGAAATCCATCTCTAAGGTTCTTATTGCTACCCAAAAACATTGGTGGTATTCACTCCGAATGTTGTCTGTGCTCCCCAAAGCATTGAAAAATCAAATTTGACAAATTCTACAGCAAAGTGTATTTTTACAGAAATGTCCCAGTTACTCTGAATTGTACACAGCCTTGCTGTCAACACTCTTATTGGATCTAAATGTTGTTTTCAGTGCTTTGAGCACCACAAACAAGATTCCATTCACCCCAGTTGTATTGGAATGGGAACAGCAATCTCAGAACCCTGACTCATACACTCAGTTGCCATTTTATTAGGAACTCATTGCTGAAACTAATGCAGTTAATAAAACAGCAGTTGATACTGTCTAATGTTTTGTTCATTAATAGGAGCGTAACACTGAAACTATCCATATGGCTAGAATTTTTTTTTCCATGATTTGGGTGAACTAACACTTTAAGATAGATGGGGAGGAAGCAGGGAATAAAGCGAAAAAGAGATGCGGAAGACTGACCAAAAATGTCATAAATAATGAGAAGAAAGTGAGTGAGATATGGGCACCCGACACAGAGGGAGACGAGATGAGCGAGGGAGAAATGTAGTAGCAGGGGGAGATAGGTAAAGAAGAGTATGTGAAAATACCACAGGGAGCGCTGGGCAGATTGGCCATCTGGACCTCTGAGCTGACAGCTTGACATGTTCCAAGTGCAGCAAACGTGGAGCAAATTCACTAAGCAAGGCCCCCTCTTGAGATATGCAACACATTACACAGGAAGCGTAATTAGAGGGCTGGTGGGGCGCGCAGTGAGCGTCAACATGAACAGAACGGTCGAACAGAGATCAATGTTCTGCTCTCTAAATTAATGAGGCTAATGTTGATGTGACAACCTCGTCACCGGAGATCTGCGGGGAATGGGACAGATTCCAACAGGCGTGAATGAAGACGTGAAATAGGGTACAAGCTTATTAAATTACAGTTTATAGCGAGCGTGCGCACACACACACACACACATTGAGCTTGAACACAAAAAATGATTGATGAATATTTTAATTTGACCAATTCATATCGTTCACCAATAAAGTTATTATTTTCATTATAAAACATACTGTTGAAAGTGAACAAAGAATACAGCTGCTTACTAAATATCAACAAGTTCAAGGGGGGGAAGCGTAAATGTACAATAGAAAATTACCATTTTCCAGTGTAGAAAGATTATTTTTGAAGGTTGAAACAAACAATTCACAACTAAATGCATCTCAAATATAATTAAGAACTCATAACAGATGAAACACAAGCAAACGTGGAACCGCACACAACAACATCTGCAGTCTCATTGAGGTGACAAGGCTGATTATTTTAAGGAGAGTGAAGCATGTACTCAACAAAAAGTCATAAAATGTAAGCAGTGCTCGAAGTTATCTTTCAGGTAAGGGCTTCCTAATGAAGACTGTTGTTGTAAGATCATTTGTTCACAAAGACATACACATTACACACATGAAATAAGCCAATTTAGTAATGGAGCACTGCTGGATGTGAGGGAAGTTGAGGCTTCTTTAGCAAATCATTGATCTGTTGCAAACCACAGTTGGGAGAGCCAAAAGCCAAAAATTGGCTATTTGGTATTTGGTGTTGAAAATGGCAGAAACACATATTCATAAAGTACAACATTAACAACATTATAATTTCAGAAAATTACATTTTACCCTTGCTAGGAGCTTTTTCTTTTTTCCCTCCTTTGCTTCTGATTGCCCCTCTGTCCTCCAAATCAAACTACATAGTTGAGGTTTGATTGCAATTAGAAACAACTTAGAAAAAAACTTTTTAAAAAAGCAAACAAAATGCTTCTCCAGTCATTGGCTAGGGGATAGTTTTCTTTCCTCTGGCAACTTTTTCGCAGGCATCAAACAATCTTCCAGCTGCTGACTTGATTTCCAACGGATGGAGCTTATTCCTTTTTACTGACAGGTGCACAGAAACTCTGTGACTCCTTTTTATAATTTTTCTGCTCCAGTGAGGCACATTTACACCATCCTAGTCTTGATTAGTCTTGCTTTAACAAAAAGTACTGAAAGATGATAACGTGATACTTGATATGGAATCAAAATAAGGAAACCCACTTTAAATAATACACACCTGTGTTAGAAGAGCGGTCAGGGCCACTTGTCCAATGCATTTTCATTAATGATTCATTGCTCAGTTTACACTTTTTAAAGCCTCTTGAATGTGTACAGTCTTTTGCCTGTATTTAAAACAATGCCATGTTGTCCTCATGGAGACAATACGCTATTATAATCTATACAATAAGCTCCCATGTTGGTTATAACCATCCTCATTAGTGCTCATGAGTCTTCTTCCAAGGGTCTGCTATTCACCATAGGACAGCATTTCCACAACCATCTGTGTCAGTATTTGTGTAGTGATGAGGCAGGATGGAATGCAGCAAAGCTGATGACCAAAGACAACTGGCCAAAAAAAAAAAAAAGACAATATAAAATCTTGAGAAAAAGAACAAAACTGTATTATCTCCTTTTTGTCTTGTCAGTGGTTGCCCTTGTTAGCGTGGAGGACCATTTAAATTGTATCCGTGAATGTGAATTATGGGAATAGGACTCTGATGGGTTCTCTGCATACTGTATGTCTCTCTCCTGTATCCCTGTTGCTGCACCATCCAAAGCAGTTCCTTTTTTATGGTTAATGGATGGTAGGCAGATCTCCCAGCCAGGCACCAGGTAGGGGGCGTGGACACGTATACTCATTCTGCAAGGCAAGGGGGGGAAAAGACAATAAAGTTAAAACCATTTAACAGCTGGGCTGTGCCAGTGACAGAGGTGGTGGTTACAATGTAAAGTTAATTACAGTGCCCAGTGATTTGATAAGAGTACAATGGGGCTGTGACAGTGCCAGCAAAGCAAATTAGGGTAAGCAATTAAGCAGATGATGAAATCCCATGTGCTTAGATAGCTTAGAAGGCTGAGGTGGAGTGACTTCCCTCATGTCTTACAGAGATTAAATGAAAGCCCAACGCAGAGCTCTTATGAGTGTTCATTTAGCAAATGTCAATTTAATGCTGGAATAATAAAAAAAAATGTAAAGTCTTCAATTGAACTTGCTCACTTAACATTTTGTCACTTAATGTCATGTTGTTTCCAACAGTAGATATTTCAATTACCCTCTAGCGTTGATCTGCATCTTAGCAATGGTTCAACTACCAATTATTAATAGCCTAGTTCAGTGTATGCAAATTAAATACATGACACATGCCAGAAAGAGACGGCACATGTTTCATTTTTCAGAAATTTGTTTTCAGATTTATTGTATCTGTAGCACAGGAATACATTTATCACATACTGTATTGACATATATTTAAAGGTCAGTTTGATCTATGTGGTAGGAATACTTCAAATGGACCAGCTTAATGTAAAGAGCATTTTCTTTATTCACACTATAGCCATATTAAGAGACTGGGGCTTGGAAGAGTGGCCAAATTAGGTAATGCATTACAAATACTGTAAACGGATGCAAAGAATCATGGGAGGAATCTTTATATTCACTGAATATGCAGCCATATCTAAGGATAAAGTAATAAAGAAAACATCATGTTATGTGTGAATACATTTTCAGTGATGCAAAAATACATGCACTTACATTTTCAATTTATTCCCAATGTAATGTATGGTTACACCTCTATACTGTATATTTGAAATAATCAGGCTCGTTCCTATCACATTGCATATTTGTATCTCTCGAAACAGTAAATTAGAAATCATGACAAGTGAATGATTTGGGACCTTTAAATGTCAGCACTTTCCCACAGGTCAACTCAAGCTTGTTGAGTTGTTGCAAATTAGTTAGAGATTTTGACATTTTACTCTCGTTAAAAAGCCACAAGCTTTGAATTGATCTCCACACTGAAAGAGGCAGAGGCACACTCGGCCCACTGTCCAAGTTTCCCTCTGAGCTTTTGTGCGCTGCTTTACAACTTAACCTTTAAAAGAGCCTATTTGCTACTTGGCTACAGGAAAATCCACATTGCCTTAATAACACAAATGCTTTGAGTTTTGCCAGACTAAGCAATTTCTAAAGCTTTCAGAATCTGCTCAGAATTATCCCGGCTCAACTTTTTGCTGCTCAAGCTGAGATTGTTGTCAGCATGAAGCAGATCTCAATAACACAGGGCTCAGACGAGTATGCCCTGAGCAGAACTTTTATTCAAACGCTATCAAACAGGCTGATCAGTCTTCACTCAACTCTTTATCTACCTCTCAGGTGGATGTGAGTGAAGTGAAGACAGCTGCACAAATTGTCATTCCTTAGACAATTTCGACAGAGCACAAAAACAGAAACAACTCGCAGCAAAAGCTCAGGCTGTGCTGTGAACACATGCACATGAACTCTGAAGCAAGCAACACAGACACAAAAGCTGAGGCACACAACCCTCTCAACAGGCAGACACACACACCGAAACAGAAGCACATCATCCTTTGAGGTGGTGAAAGAAGGAATAGGACCAACGATAAAATGAGTAGATAGTCTACCCAATTAATTTTTGTCATTACTCAGTGTAATTAGTAATATTGACACATTGTGCCCCATTGGAAGTGGTAATGGAGCATGTGCTGGCGCTGACACTTTGTTTATCTGTTTATAACTAATGATATAAAAGAAGATGTAAGCAGTCCATGATGTAAGCAAATGGGTAATGACTACTTATATATATACAACATTCTGTCTGTTACAAAGTAGTTTCAGCTCAAAATATTAATCTTTACACTTTGGATGCTTTGTAGAACCTGAATCAATCCAGTGTGCAGTCAAATGCAGTGACATTGCATCAATTTGAAAGTAATCGCAGTCACATCTCTTACATCTGAATTCAAAAGATCATCTTCACAAACCTTGTTGAGTGACTGCAGTAGCGCATTGCTTGTAGGATAGTGGTCACAGGGCCAACTGTTGTTGTGGCTCATTATGCTTTATTTGATGTTAAAAGCCCACAATTTTCACAGCAACAGCAAAACATTGACCCATCATTTTACTTTATTGTCTTGTTCCTTGTTTTTCTGCTGTCATAATGCATTATGTAGCTCTGCACAGCTCAGATGTTTGCTTCATGGACACAGACATCTGAGCTGTTATTTCCGAAAACTCATTTTGCTCCTTCAACATGATTTTCTTCGAGTGTTTGGTAAATGAGGATTGTAATTCACTCTGCTGCTCACACCTCTTTAAACACTTGCGTTGCTAACAGCCATTAGTTGTTTGATGGCTTTCAGCCATAAGTTGGAGACAGTGCTTTTTGCATAACTTTGCATGAAAGGACTGGATGGCTATATATGTTTTCATCCCCAGACTTCACCAATCCTCATTACTTCTCCTGCCAGAACACAAGACAGACTGCTTGCTTCCTTTATGGCGACAAGGAAGTTATGCTTGCCATTAGGATGTTTTGTCCCCGGTCTCCAGGGACATATTCTTTACTTTTGCACTCTCTGAGGAGCTGATCTTTCCAGTGGTAGAAAGGGAACTGAAATTCTTCAACAATCTGAAGGAGCAATTGTCCTCCTCCATCTGCCCGTGGCAGTCTCTGAAATTACTGCTTCTACTTCCATGAAAACAGCAAAAAGGTAGGGGAGTTCTTCATCTCTAAGAGCAAGGCCATGGTAGCTTCCTCGGTTGCAGTCAAAGTGGGAGTTACGACAAGCTGGCAAGGGTCCAGGACAAACTTGGCAAACATTATGGTCAGGGGCCCTTCCTTCTCACCAATGCAGGATGGCAGCGTGTGGTACAAGTGTAGCTGTTGGCTACTAATACTGTTCAAGATCCAGACAACCTATGTCACTGGGCCACAGTGAATCTCCTCTGCCTCAGAGCACATCACATTTCATGCAGCAGAAATGCCAGGAACAAGCCAATAGCTGTCAAGAAACAGCCTGAAAATTTGAGTCTGATGTAGGATTTTGGAAAGAAAAAGATGACTTGTTTTACCTCAAGGACTAGGGACTGACCGATATGTTTTTTCCGGGCCGATCCCAATTAATAGTAACCAATTAGACCAATGAACGATTGGATGTGGAACTGATATATATTTGCTGTAAAATTTTTAATCTTGGTGTCAAAATAAAAACACAAAAACACAAACTCCAACACAAAACTTTGTTGAAAATAACAAGATTAACGTTAACTGTCATGTTTAATCTTTATAAATAGTAAATTAAATGAATTAGAGATCCATCACAAAGATGGACTATGAGTGATAAATTATCATAAACTTTGTCTTTACCTGCTGCCATTTATTATATTGTATTTCTTTTATATCGTTAGGATTTCATTGAGAATATTTATTGATCTATACTCTTATCGGTTTTTCATTATTAAATAATTGCTTTTTAAAAATATGTTATTTAAAATAAAAAAAATTAATTTAAAATTTTATTATTACAGTAGTTTACAGCAGCAAAGTAACAATATGAATTCAGTATCACACTGGAAACATGTAAAATAAATTATATTCCTAACATCAAAATACTGAGTAGAGTTTAGAAAAAAAAAACACCTCTGCAGCTGCTGTAGAGAGGAGCTGGTTTCTCTCAACAAGCAGCTGAGTTTACAAGGATTTGCTAAATTTTAAGGTACGTAGCATCTCATCTAAGCAGGCTACAGACAGAGAGATTAAACCTGTTTACAACTAGCTATTAGCCAAGCTAGCACATGTGCTTGTGTAAAACCAAAACACACACGGTGGATGAGACAGAGCAGATTAAAAAATGCTTGTTGTACTGATAGGGTATCAGCCTTTGACTAGTACTGCTGGTTTTGCTGCACTTATTTCCAGTAATTGGGCGTCGTTATGGTCAACATGTGTAATCTACACTCTGCTAGCTCCATGTGTGTGTGCATGCAGAGCTCTGCTTAGAGGAGGGGAGGGGCTGCAGCGTGGTGGCTCGCTCATTCTATTGGCTGCTTCCGCACAATATTCACTGTTGATGGACTATTACCTGTGACCAATCAGGCACTTCTGTGGACGGGACATTGTACTCAACACTCTGTGAGCTCCAGCCAACACAGAGAGGCGGCTACATCAGAGCACATTTTTTATTAATTAATTATATCGGCAATCTGTTTTTTAAAATGACCGATGCAGATTATTGGAAAAATTATGAATATCGGCGCCGATAATCGGCCAGACCGATTATTGGTCGACCCCTATCTAGGACAAACACCGACTGTCCTCGTGCCATCCCATGACAATCTGTCCTTGGGAGTGTTGTGTTTGCACATGCACAAAATTTAATCAACGTACACTGAAGGCCATCATACAACCTTTTAACAGTTGTGGATGATATTATTGTAAAGAACATATGGTAATCTAAATCAGACTCTGCTTTGATAGCATTCAAATTAATGTGAAAATGCACCTAAACAAGTACATAATGAACAAATTATATATAGGAGAAAGAGGCAAAACTAAAGGGGTTTTAAAAGATGTTTGAGTGGGCATAAACCTTTGCCAACTAAAGCCATGGAAATGCCGCTGTGCACTAGTGTTTGCAATAAGATAAAAGCAACTGTTTTGTATGCAGTGTTGCAAGTGACGGTGCATGCATTCTACATGACTGACTGGGGTAGCTGAGCTAGCTATGTCTACTGCCAGCTGACCACTACGGACTGTGCTAGCTGTAATTACAATGTTAAATTATGCACTACACAAGCTGTGGTTTGACCAAATTGTTTATTAAAACTGTTGCAGTGGAACCATT